CAAACTCGTTTTTATCCGTTATTAAATGGGGTGTTTTAAACGAGTGTCCATTCTGCGGTCTGTCTGAAAACGTGTTCCACGTTTTTTATGGAATGCACAAGACTAAAGACAATTCTTAGCCTTTTAATTAGTGTTTTTAGTCTTTTTGGAACAAACACTCTTTTTATAGGAGGAGTTTGCCTAAACAAAAGGAATAAGCCAAATAAAAATTTTATAAGCAAAGATGGCCGTTTACCTGTCCCGTAGAAACAGACTGCAGGAGGGAGGTCACCTTGATGCCGTGGCTCTGTGGAAGTGCAACGCTAAAGCCAGAATAAAGCTGGAGTTTCACTTCCACAGAGCCACACAGAACATGGCGGATTTTATTCAGTTGTGGGGTTTTAACAACATTTTATGTGATGTGTCAGATGATTAACTACATTTTAACAAGCTCCTCATTTAACCATTTTTAGCTAACACTTGTTTTTACCTTAATAGTGATTTTTAACTGACAAACTGTGAAAATGGGGATGAGCATGTACTGTAGGACGGCCTTATGTAACACATCACCAGAATGATTGAAAATTAGGAGGACCACTTATTTTGCTGATCCACCCAGAAATAAAATACCCTCCACTATACCTTTAAATAAAACCTTTTAAAGAATTTGAAAAAATGTCAGAAAGTTTTATTGTATAAAGAAATTTAATTTAATTAGCGCATGTTCTCCTATCACCTACAGTTTGGAAGAGTAAAACTGTTTTTCTGTCTTTGCTGCAGCCAAAGAAGTTGGGCTTCTCTAACTTGACGGGCCTCAGGAGGAGACGGACGGACGAGTCCACAGACTACATCTGTCCCGTAGAGTCTTCCTCGCCTGAGTCGGGACAGTCTGTAGCCAACGGGGTGCAGATGCGCCCGTACACCGGCTTCAGGGGTCTGAGTCCCATCCTGGACCGAGAGCTCCCCCGGGACCAGGTGGGGCATGAGGAGAGAAAAACCGACGCGTCTCCATGACAACCCCAGAGATAACTCTATGGACACTCCGAAGCTTCCCATCAGCCAATCAGATATCCCCTACTGCTGCTTTGCCTACTTTGCTCGCAGCCTGACCCCTTCCTGCTCGCTTCGACTCCATTTCCAACCCCGTGCCTTACTCTAGCAGAGACTTGGACCTACCCTGATAAACCCAACCAACCTACAGTCATCCTGCAGGGTGCTATTTTGTTCTCGACTTGCAGCCAGATGCCTCACTAACCCAACCTCCACCTCAGACCTGTGCCTAACAACCCAACCATCCCATCATACTAGAACTAAGCCTTCCTCTGGATTCCCGTTGCATCAGCTCCTAAAAGTCATGCAGCATAAACGAGCAACCTTTAATGCATCTCACACCTCCTGTAGATATTTTTTTAATCGCAGTTAACCTCTGCATGGATATAACCTTTTATTTTCTGATCAGGCTAAGAGCAACCTGTGCAATATTATAATGAAATATATGGAGGGATTTTATTTAATATTTATGTCACTACAGAACTAATGATACTACAACGTATTTTGTTTGATACCTAAGGTGTTGATTTTTATACCATTATTTTCTTAATCATTGTAATGATATTTTTATAGCAAAGAAGATTAGCTAAACTAAGATAAAATTGTAAATGTCAAGATTTATAAAAATACTTTAAGAAAATAAATCTTGTGTGTAAAGTTTGTTTCATTCTAAACTCAGGACTTGGTTTTATGGAAAAGTTTATGTATAGATTAAACATGTTGTTATATACTTCTACCATCAAATGAAAAAGGAAACAAATCTAATGAATTCACTGTTGCAGCTCGCTTCAGTAATCTGCATCAAGCACTAACCTGCCTTCATCCTTACCATCCTCATCACCACCGTGGCCCTTGCAGCTTCAGCATCCACTAACCAATCAGAACACCATAACATCCCCATTACAGGTAACATGGAGGTGCATGAGCATGGCTCAGAATAACTGCAAGGACAAGAAAAAAAAAGATCTAGTCAGCCGAAGGTTTACACTCATCACTGGTATGAATACCATTCTTTCATGGCTGACTTGTGTTTACAATTATACAGCTTTGAATCAATTTTTTTTTTAATGGAAGTGGGTGCACAGATTAGAAATCTCATTTAACTATTTTCAAAATCACACATCCAGGCTTAAATGCATTAATTCTATTCAGTTTATTTCTATAGCACCAATTCCCATCATGTCATCTCAAGGCACTTTCCAGTTCAACCAGATCATCCAGTCAGATTGATTCAAAGTTTTCTATCTAAGGAAAACCAGCTGATTGCATCGACTCATTGACTCTTCAGCAATCCCTCACACTAAGCATGCTTGTAGTGACAGTGGAGAGGAAACATAATTTCACATCATTATTCCGTTTTCTTCCAGCATCACTCAGACTTAGACAAACTTGTTGTCGATTTTGACGCATACAGCTTTTCAACAGTGAATGAGGATTACTATTTATAAAGTGCAGCAGTGATCAGAATGTAAACAGCGCAGGAGAAAAGGAAACCAATTTAAAGTCACGGTGCACAAGGCATTGATATGGAAAGGTTCAGTGCATCGCAAAATAAATATGGTGCAAAATGCTGCCATATTTATTTATTTGCACTGCATTCATCACTGAACTGGCCTAATCCTGACTGGAAAGAGTTTGACTACTTTGTCTCTTAGAAACAGTTAAGGTTATTGAAACTGGATGCTATCCAGGCATGCATCTGTCTTTAAGCAGATTTTAAGATTTAAGATCCTCAACTCAAAGTTCCAACAATCTTCCCCTACGGCAAATGTATTTGTAAAGCGAGTTCAGTACAAAGACGATTCAAAGTGCGAAGGAAAACTAAAAGCAGCAAAGATAAAAATAAAAAATAAATGATAAGAGCATGTAGCAAAGTAAATGAAACAGTTGGACCAAAAACCTAATGATGCCTCAGTTAACAGTTTGACTTTAACGGTCAAATGCAGTTCTAAATATCCCTAGAAAAAAAACAAAAAGGCAGTCGCTTCTGCTACTCTGGAGCAATAAAGGAACGATCAAGTCTGTGATTTTGTACAAAAGTATAACCTATGGTCAAAAGCTGGTTCTGTTCAAGAGAATTTATCAATAACAACAAACCTCAATAAGACCTTTCACAAAAAAAAAAGCTCAACTATCCAGGCAGAATTTGGCTACCAAAATGACTGAGATACTCGATCCAAATATCGATTTGCATATTAGACAATTTTTCTATCATGCTTAAATTATTTAATTTTAAGAGAACAAAACAAACTGTTTAGTTTAATTGACTCTTTAAAAACTCCAAATAGATGAGATTCGTGCCAATGATGACCGAATGTAGACTTCTGATGGGAACTGTTTGCATGCATTCCAGTCTTTTAAAATGCAGAAAATGTTTCCGTCTACATCAGTGACGGATGTGTGTGTGTGTTGCAGATGGTGAACGCAGAGAGCACCATTTTAGAAATAGAAGCTTTGTCTGAAAGCATCAACAACCTCACAGTAAGCACCAACACACACGAGCTGCTGCTTAATGGCTCCTGCAGCTTGCTTCCTGTTGTCTGTAGCAACAGAAGCTCAAATCTTTCAGATGGAAACTTCAGTGGAATATTTGAGAAAAACAGCTAATCAATGTAATGCTGCACAACTGTGTGAAAATAAGGCAATAGCACTATTTTTTTTTACAAGTGAGAAACACATTGTGGTGTTTTTCTTCTCACGCTCTCAGCTGTGTTTCTTTTTGCTCGGTTCTTTTCAGGTCATCATGTAGTTTTTTACATCATGAAAACGGCCTCAGTCTGTAGCGACAAAGAAGTTTCACCATCTTGGAAAATTTGAGTATGGAGGGAATTTTGTTCTATTATTGTTACAATCAAATAACATGTTTTGTAAATTGAAATAAAAATAAAAAATGCAATCCAAAAAGGAAATTTTGAAAAAACATGAAAAATAAGACTTTGAGAGAAACTTTGCCGTTTTCTTTTTTTTTTCTTTTTTTTTTTTTTACAATTTGTATTTGTTCACATTCTCTTCAGTTCTGGGGGCGGGCTTTCCTCTGGTGTCAGGAGCAAAGATGGATTTCTATTGGTCTGCAGAAGAGAGAACGTTTGCATTGGTCTTAAAGTGAAGAGAATGTCATCTGTGAAATGCAATTTGAAAAGAATGCAATTTGTAAAAGCTAAATCTGAAACAAAAATTGGGAAAAAAATTTAATGTGGAAAAAATATTTTAAAAAAGATATTACAATCTAAGGAAATGTGGAAAGTTGGTCTTAAGATCTTTTATTAATTAAAACATTTTTGTAAGTTTAAAAAAAGTTTTCTTTTCTTACAGAAATTATGGAACAAAATTGACTCCATATTTGAGCCGTAATCACAAAGCTATATCCAAGCTATAGCTGTTTTAATAATAAAAGGCTAATTTCAATTTTAAATGAACTATTTTGTTGTTGCTAAAATAAAATCCAGTTGCTGACTTGGGATCAGGTTGAATCTGTTAGACTTCTATTATTACATTATATTAATTGAAAATTCACAAGTTTTTCTTTGGATTTTGTCAAATTACTGTAAATTACTCATTTTCTATTCATCCTTTGACCCTGACAATGGTAACGCATTGTGTGATAGATTAAAAAAACACAAATTTTAAGCATAAGTGGAAAAAAATGCAACAAAACCTAAAGTATCAAGAGTCGATCTTTCTAATGAATGTTCCTCACATTGAAGCACTTGCTCTACTGTTGTCTCCCTTGTTAATGTAGTGATACATGATATTTTAAATCTGCTATTTCTGAACCTCAAAGCTTATCAAGTTTAATTTATGATCAAAAGCTCTAAGTTGAATTCCTGACCTGCAACGTTGGAGCTACCTCACTGTGAATATACAATTCACTTTTACCTATTTGCACGTATAAATCGACAATAATAAACAGAACTTCAAAAAAGTACTATAAAACCAAATCTAATTTTTTATACCCCATCACACTACTGCATGTCTGCTTTGTCGTTTAATGATGCTGAAGCATTTATAATGTGATCTCCAGTGGACGAAGGCTGCCACAGACTCATTCAGGACTTCCATGATTCATGAGGGTTGCATGCATGTAGAGTTAACATGTTTTAGTTTAATCCAGTTTATTTAAATAGTGGCATTTCAAAACATGTCATCTCAAGTCACCTTAGAGAAACAATTCAGTTAGATAATACAGTTAGATTTAGTTTTTAAAAAACTATCATTGAGCCCTATAACGGTACATAATCTAGTGGTACTCTATTACCTTTTTTCTTTATTGGCAGATTATCTATTCCAGTTGGGTCAGCTATGATCAGATTAGTTCATTATGGCTCTTGTCAGACTTAAATGTAAAAGAGGAGAACCAAGGAAGGCTGTGGGCAGCTAGAAGAAGCAACCTGGGTATAGACAGGAGATGGAGAGAAAGAAGCGGTATTAAATGGAAGGATATTAATTAAATTCAGTTTATTTCTATAGCGCCAATTCACAACATGTCATCTCAAGGCACTTTACAGTTCAACCAGATCATCCAGTCAAACTGATTGAAAGTTTTCTAAGGAAAACCAGTTAATTGCATCGACTCATTGACTCAAAGGCAATCTCTCACACTATGCATGCTTGTAGCGACAGTGGAGAAGAAAAACTCCCTTTGAACAGGAAGAAACCTCCAGCAGAACCAGGCTTAGTGTGAGCGGCCATCTGCTGAGGCCCACTGGGGTTCAAGGAGACAGAAGCAGACATAGAAAAGGCAACTGTAAAAGGCTAAATCTAATGCGCATGTAAAGCTAAGCTAACGCTACCTATAGCTAAAACTACCTACTGGTTGCTATAAAGGTGTTTATATACACAGGAAGCCCAACATCAAAAGGTTTTGACATTATAGTTCTCAAATAATGATGCGACTTGGAATCACAATGAGCAAGCTCTAAACATAGATCCACATAGCGACTAATGGAAACATTGAAAAGGTGAACTGAGCCCCTTTCTCACTTGTAAGTTGGTACAAGTGAGAAAGGGGCAAATATGATGCAGGTACACTCTCCTCAGCATGCTGAATGCTTGAAGTGGCTCTGATGGCAGGGAAACTCCTTTCTGAGGGGTCTTTGACTCAAAATGGAAACAAATTGAAAGAAAATTCTGCACATTTAAAATAGAAGCTTAAGTGACAAACAATAAATAATAAAAAAAAAAATGAATGCCAGATGCAGACCCAATAAAAATATCTGATAATTCTCTTTAACTTAGAAACCAAATAATTATTTTCATCTTCAAAAGGAAAATTTTTATAGCAGGCTAATAATGGAGGAGCGGTTTGGTTTCTTTTCACTAACAGACTCTCACTTTATTCCCTTTTTTCAGTAAACTCTGTAGTGATTCTCTAAAAGTCAGTTTGTAACAAAAAGCAAACTATTTATTTAGAATTATCCTACTATAAACTACAGGGCATTTTCAAATCCAAGCATAAGACCTATTTTCTTCAGAGAGGCTTTTATCACTATAATTTAGTTTAATTTAGTTTTTATTTTTGTTATTTGCTTTTATGTTAGTTTTCTTTGTTGTGTGATTCACGTTTGATCTTTAAGCAGTTTATTGGTTAGTAAATGAATAAAACTAAGTAGTTTGTTGTGTGTGAAGGTCAACAGTGGTTGATACACTGAGTGTTTTATCAAAAAGAAAAATATTGCTCTAAAAATGGTCAAATAAAAAATGAGTGAGAAATCAGATGAAATCCAAAGGAAAACTTTGAAAGAGCTGAGAAATTCCCTGAGAACTTTTTTTTTTTTTGGAAAGACAAAGCAGGAAGAAATAATTTCAAACTGTTGCATAGCACTTGGCGTCCATATTTCGAATTACAAGTACGTTTTTTCACTTCCTTCAAAAAGTTATTTTTTTCTTAGTGTTTTATCAATAATTGATCATATAAAAAGTAAAACTCTCATTCCCAGAAAATGCTTCTGATTTGATCAGTGTGGTTTTAACTGTACTGAAAGCATAAACTGATCCCAGCTCAGTTGCAAACACCAATGCCCAACCTCTCTGACACTCCCCCACTCCCATGATGCTTTGCCTCCAGTACCTGCTGAGCCAGGAGGAGCTGCAGAAGGAGCTGAGGCGGTCACAGACGGCGCTGGTTTGAAGGATGGGTCGTCGGTTTGCTAATGCTGCAGAGCATCAGAGACCTGCAGCCAGTGCGGCCCCTCAGCCCTAACTCTGCCCCGCGGAGCCGCTTCCAATCATAACTGCTGCTTCCTCATGTAACGCCCACAGAAATGGACTGAAAAACTGAGAAGCACTTCTTGGATCTCAGTGAAGAGTCAAAGTTTCTTACATTTAAAGACTTTTTGCTACTTTTTAATTCTAGCTGTTTAATGCAGCCTTTATGAATAATACTGACCACTGTGATCTGTGACTGTTGTGTCATCAGAGGGTAAACGGGTGTAGACTAGTCTGATAACATGCAAACAGATGTTGAAGACCAAAAGCAGATGGAAAAAGACTCTAAACTATTTAAAATAAACATAAATATGTTCTAATATAACAGTTTTGTTTAACACCCACAATCCAAACCCCACCTGCTCTTGGCTCCATATTCAAAGGTCACTGTCAGTTCATGTCGCGGGTTCAAAGATGTCCCTCCGTCTAATTATTCTGCTCTGAGGCGTTTTGGTCTTCCTGGGTATTTTCCTTTTTCTGAACTGGCTGTGTGGTAGAATCCCAATAGATCAGCAGTTTGTGAAACATTAAGACCATCTTGTCCTGCCAACCAAGCCACATTCAGGGTCATTTCAGTTTCCTTTTCCATTCTGATGCCGTTTGAATTTCAGCAGGTGAACTTTTCCATGTCTGGATGATCAAATGCAATAGACTGCTATTCTTGTCTAATAAACTTTCAGTACATTCCAGCTTCACCTTTGAGACTTTGGAGGTTTTATTTATTCATTTATTTACTAACTGGGATGTTGGTTTTCTATTAAGCTTCAGAAAATTTATACAAGATATAATGAATCAGATCTATGAAAACTCAGGTCCTGAACCCTTCATCTATAGTTTCTGTCATTTCCCAGGATATCCAGGACAATTTTAACAGGTGGGTAGAAAACCCAAAACTTTATCTCAGTCAACGGAGGCACTACTTTAACATTTCTTTACTCAAGTAAAGCAGAAAGTTAAGAAACTGATCAAATAAAAGTAAAAATGTAGTGTATAAAATGGCTACTCAATTAACGAGTAATTATTGGATAGTAGGATTGTAACATTTGATTTAATATTTAAAATGCTGTAATCCGATGTGCAAATTTTATTGTTTTAAAACTATAAAATAAGAATGAATAAAAAAAAGAATAAATAAAATGCTATTCAACTGATCTCAGAATACTCATGGTGAGTAAATTAATCAGAAAGTTTTCTTGGTCAAAGTAAAAAGTACAGCTAATGAGTCAGCGTAAATAGTTACTACCTACCTCTGTATTTTAATATCCATGTTTGTAAATTTTCCAGCAAAACCAGTTTTGACGTGACTTCAGAGTCTGTTGGTAGATGTGCGAAATCATCAGGTTTCCTCTTCTAACATAGACGTCATTTTGAACATATTCTGCTTTTTTTAGCTTTCTACCTCTGTGGGGAAGAGTCGATGAACAGGCTGGATATATAATGGAATAACTTCACAGAGCAAAAAGTGTTGGGGCACAGTAGTGGAGAATAATGATCGGGGCATAAAGGAGAACGTTTAATCTTGGTTGCAGATGATGCAGCTTTAAAGTTAATTTTTGGTTAAATGTGAGTAAATCTGAAATTGGGCTCAAATTCAGCCATGCATAAGAAAAGGGATCCCTAGAATGTCTGAAAAACATTC